GGTCTAGGCCCGAAACGTCAGCCTCTCTGCTCCTATGATGCTGCTTGGCCTGCTGTGTTCATCCAGCCCTGCACCTTGTTGTCTATAATTCCCTGTTTTCGCTTTACCTCACTTTTTAAATTGTGGGGTTACATTAGCTACCCTTCAATCCATAAGAATGTTCTAGAGTTTGGAGGATCTTGAAGGGTGAACACCAATGCATCCACTGTTTCTAGGATACTTCATTAAATACACTGGGATGTAGATTATCAGCCTCTGGGGATTTATTAGCCTTTAAACCCATCAATTTCCCAACACCACTTCCCGACTAAAACTGATTTCCTTCAGTTCATTACTAAGCCATGTGTTCCCCAATATTTTGGAGGATGTCATTTTTGTTCTTCTTTGTGAAGATTGAACAAAAGTATGTATTTAATTGGTCTTCCATCTCTTTGTTCCTCACTGCAACATCCTCTGTTTCTGGCTGTAACAAACCTACAATTTGTCTTCACTAATCTCTTATCTCTTTGCGTGTCTATAGAAGCTTTTACAATGAGTTTGTATGTTTCCCACAAGCTTATTTCCCTCTTTCCCCTCTTATTCAATCCCTTTATCCTCCTTTGCTGCTATGTTTCTTGTTTCCACCACACACACACCCTCCCCCCCAAAAAGAGTATATACTCCAGGGAAATCAGAACAAGAGTAATCTCTTTCCTTAATTCCGTTCACCCAAATAGATCAGAGAAAAATGTCCCAAATGTTTCCCCCAAGTTGTTTTACCTTTTCTTTGCCTCTACCAGGTGATCATGTGGTGGTGAACAGGATGAACAGAGTATATGGTGTGATGGTCAAGGTATCGTGATTGTGAGGGACAAGCTGAAAGGACAGGAGGAGGGTCTTGACTATTATTGCTTGTTTTGTTCTTATTTAGTCTTGGTGATATCTTCTGTCTTTGTGCTGTTGCCCAGCTAACGTGGAGGCTCTCAACGAACTGCTAAGGGAACATGAACAGGTGAAACCTCCAGTACCCAGGTAAGAAGAAAGAAGGATCCTAATGTGAGTTACCTCTCAAGCATTTTATGTATCATTCCTATCTCTGTCTCCAAAATGTGTCTGTTCAAAGTACACATGTAGAAACATATTTTAAACATTTCTATCTTGACAAACAATTTCTATAAAAATAAGGACAAGTAGCAGATACGAGCAAAAGCTTGGTCAAAGAGCATCTTAAAGCAAAGGAGAGAGAGGTAGAGAAGGAAAGAGAGGGAATTCCAGAGCTTGGGACCAAGGTGGTTGAAGGCACAGCCAGCAGTGTTAGAGTGATGACTAATGGGAATCCTTAGGAGGCTGGAATGCAGAGGAAAAGCACAGAAATATTGGAGGGTTATAGATTTGTTGGATTTTAGTGGGATGAGGAAGAATTAGACCAGGGAGGTACAGCAAACAAGGATCAGAACTTTAAAATTTAGGTGGTTCTGGACTGTGAACCAACACAGGTGAGCGAGAGTGGGAGAGGGATAATTGAATAGGTCTTGGTATGATTTAGTCAGCAAAATTTTAGATGTGAAGAATTTTATGAAGGGTGATGGGGAAAATACATTTTATAATTTATGAAAACAGGTACAATTATAGAAAAACAAAATAACTCACTTAGTGGAACTAGAACCTTGCTTCTATATCACTGATAAAGAGTTCATGATTTTCCTTGCTTAATTGAGATGGAGAGTCTGAATTCCCTGTTTAAGCATCATGAGCCTCACAGATGGGGCAGAACTGGAGAGTCAATGCCTTAAGTTACACTCACAAGGCTCCAAGAGGCTAGTTCAGGCCCTGGAGCTCAATACTTGGCTGTCCCAAGTCAGAATGCATAGCATGTAATATTTAGAATCTAGATAATTATGTTGGAGATGACAATTCCCACAAGTTAAAACTTAACTAAGAGTAAATAAGGAAGTCAGGGCATATTTTTACCCAAAGGAAAACCAACTTGAGGAATAGGTTGGTTGAGAAGAATGTTGTATATTTAAGGCACCTTGATGTCCTTGCTGTGGCGTTCAACAAAACAGCAGCATTAAGGAAGTACCAGAGTACACTAAATTAAAACAAAGACCTGAAGATGCTGAAGATCTGAAACATAAGCAGAAATTGCTGGAGAACTCAATTTCTGTTTTTGCACCAGAATTCACTGTTGGAGGGGTCATGCTAAGGAACAATAGCACTGTTGAGAGGGATGGTACTAATTGGATTGCTGGAATTTTGGAGGAACAGCACTGAGGGAATCCTGCACTTTTAGAAGGTAGTACTGAGGGAGCACCATACTGTCAGACAGGTATACTGAGGGAGAGCTGCATTTCCAGAGGGGCAGTACTGATGAAACGTTGCACTTTCAGTGCTGGGGAAATACTGAAAAAGCACTACATTGTCAGAAGACAGTAGTCAGGGTTGCCTGCATATCAGAGGGTTAGCTCTGAGCTCTCTCTGCACTGACAGACTGGGACAGTGCTGAAGGAGCACTGCAATGTGAAAGGGACAGCAATGAGGGAGAGATGTACTATGCTATCTCTTGGATGAGACATTATAACCAAATCCTATCTTTCCCCTCTCAGACGAATGTAAAAGATCCCATGGTGGCGCTATGAAGAGAAATGGGTATTTTTTTCCCAGTGTCCTGGGAAGATCTTTATCCCTTAACTATCAACATTAGAAACAGCAAGTCTGGTCATTATCAGAGAAGTGTGGTCAGAGCTTGTTGTGCAAACATTAACAGCTGTGTTTCCTTTATCACAATGGTTACTGCATTTCCAAACTACTCAACTGGCTGTATCAGACACTTGAGATATGCTGAAGTGGTGAAAGGTGCTGTAGAATTTTTCTCAGATTAATCTGCATCCAACCAATTTAGTATCTGCCCTGGGTGTGTCTGATAGGGACAGCAAATTGGGAGCTTTACGCTGTATCTAACTGCATGCTGTACCTGTCCTGGGAGAATTTAATAAGGTCAGTGTAAAGGAAGTTTTACTCTGTATCTAATATTGTGTGGTACCTGCTGTGGGAATGACTGACAATGTAGAGATAGCTTTACTTTCACTTGAAAAGAGTAGAGGGAACTTTACTCTGCAAATCATCCTGTGCTGTCCCTGTCCTGGGAGTGTTGGACATTGACAGGGTAAAGGGAGCTTTACTTTCAGTTTAAAGGAATTGAGGAAGCTTTACTCTATCCAACATCTTACTGTACCTGTACAGGTAGTGTCTGACGGGGACAGTGTAGAGAGATCTTTACTCTGTGTCTAACCCTGTGCTGTCCATGTCCTGGGAATGTTTGGTGGGGACAGTGCAGACAGAGCTTTACTCTGTATATAACTGGGTGCGTCCATGTCCTCGGAATGTTTGATGGGGACAATGCAGAGGGGCTTTAACCTGTATCTAACCCTATGCTGTCCATGTCCTGGGAATGTATGATGGGAACAGTATAGAGAAGCTTTACTTTCAGTTTAAATGAGTAGAGAAAACTTTACTCTTTGTCTAACTGTACTGTTCTTGCTCTTTATTTTTAGTCCAATATTCCCTGAACCAGTTGTGACAAAAACTCCTTCCCTGATCCCTCACCATCACACTGTACATTCTGTGGCAGCAGGAAGTGCTGGATCAGCCTGTCTGAGCTGCAATCAGAGAAGGAAGAGATCTGCAATGCAGATGCACAGACGAGCCAAAGAGACCAAGAGCAGGAATCACGGAGTGGAGGTCACTGTCCTGTCCGTGGGCAGGTACAACAAACCACAACTTCCTCAATCTCTACCTCATTGCAGTGAGGAAACAATCTCTGGTGTTTGGGTTAACATTGCAGAAGCCAAAAGATTAACTGATATGAGTTCCTTGGCTCCATACTGACTCCGCAGAATAAGATAGTACAGAGGAAGGTCATTCAGCTCACCATGCCTTGTGCAGGCCTTGGGAATGAGCTATCCAATTAGTCCCATTCCCATTCTCGTCCCCCACGGCCTTAGAGTTTTTTCCACAACTATAATTGATTGTTCTAAAAATTCATCTCCAGCACTTTCAGTTTTTATTTTCTAATTAACTAATGACCTTTAAGAGGAGAAAATCTGCCATCGTTACCTAGTCTTGCCAAGACTCCAGACCCACAGTAATGTGGTTGACTCTTAACTGCCCTCTTTAATGGCCAAGCAAGTCACTATACAGCTCAGAAACAGTCCACGCTGACCATAATCCCAAACTAAACTAGTCCCAACTGCCAGTTCAAGAGCATTAAGAGATGGGCAATAAATTCTGGCCTAGCAAGTGATACCAACCTCTCAGGATAGAGTAAAAAATATGAATAAATCTAATATGTACCCTCTCTAAGACATTGCCATCCCTTCCAAGATGCGGTCTCTCAGAATTGGATAGAACAGTCCAGCTGAGGCCTAATCAGTTATTTGTGTAGTTTTAACACAATTTTGGTGCTATCACACTCTATGCCTCTCCATATAAACAAAAGATAACTTTTTTTGACATGCTGTCTGGTTACTTCATAAATTAGTAAGTTATATACCCACATAGAGAGTGGGTAAGGATACCTATTCCATCACACCCACTGGTCCTACAGCTCATGGCCACTGTTTCTCCACAACACCCCATTCACCACCTGCTCTCAGCTGGGCTGCAGTTCCAGGTAGCTCCCGGTCTACATGCTCATCCTCACTGTGTGGTGCTTACTGAGCTGGGACTCAACACTGGTCTGTCACTCCCTGAACTGGGTTTTAGGGCTGGTCACCCACTGACTGAGCTGGGACTCAGGGTTGGTCTACAATATAACTGCACATGTTTGTAACTGATGTATTATCTCTGGCTGAAGGTTTCGAGTTACCCGTGTTGAGAAGGGTCAATGGGCACAGGAATTAAGCAGGTTACCTGTGATTGAAGCGTGTTCTGGAGGTCATTCAGTCACAACTCAGACAGAACCAGATTGTGAGAAACACATGACCCATGAAAGCACAGCAAATGAGGGGACAAAAAAGGTACGTTGCTGTGTATCGTGAGCTGGGGTGCCCTCAGTCTCATTCAGCTCCTGAAATTGCCCTCTCGAAATCCCTGACCACCCTCTTATCCTTCCTTACCACCTCTACCTCAAACCACACATTACTCCATCTCATTCACTGCTCATTCCATTCCCTTCACCCCCACTTCCCTCCCTGTGCTTACGCACTCTCCTGGCCTGGTTGGTGACATATCCTCTTTGTCATTCTGTGAACAATGTCGGTAGATGACTGAGTATAGGCTTCCCATCTGACAGAGGATCTGCAAATAAGGAGAGATTAGATTCATAATTTATTTTGTATTCTTCTAGGAGTCTGATCCTGCTCAGCTGTGACTCTGGAACTAGCTTCTCACAGGTGGGTTCTCAAGTAGATCATATTTCGGAAGGAAATTTAAAAAAAATTAATGATTTATTTGAATCATTACTGCTCAATCTGAGGCCCTTGCTGAATCTGTCACCTTCTCATTCTCACTTTATCTCATTACTTTTCTCCCTGCCCTTCCTCTTTTCAATCTTTCCCCCTCACTTCTCTTTCTCTGTAACTCTCTCTGTCAACCTTCCCTTATAATCGAGTTATGACAGACATGTTTGCTGCAAATGATTGAGTAAATTTGTGATGTGTAAATGTGTGCAATGCAAAATACCCAAATGGATGAAGGAATGGTTCATTGTTCACTCTGGAATGATGTACAGATAAACTGGAGAGTATGCGACTGTCACTGTCGTCATGTGTGTCACTATAGCTACATGTGCGTCACTATAGCTACATGTGCGTGTGTCTGTGATGATATCACTGTCACTCTGATGTTAAGTGACTGAGCGGTGCTCTCTGTTCTTTTTCAGGGCTCTGTCTTCCCTACTGGACAAGGCCCAGACAGGCCAGGAGATGATAATACCAAAGGCCTAGATTGATCTCAGCACTAGTCCCCAACTCTGACCCCAGGAGGAGCCTCATGATCAAGGCTACATTGTCCCTCTGGTCCATCTCGCACTCTGCACTTGGGAGGTGCAATCACCACTTCTCTGAGTGCAGCTGGGAATCTAGCACCAGATAAAGAGCCAGTGAGGCAGAAAGATGGTCAGCTAGCTGGGGCGCCATCGGCTGATCCAATTGTAAACTCAAATCCATATTGCCCTCAAGAACTTGGATACAATAAGGACTGCAGATGCTGGAAGCCAGAGTCTATAAGGTGTGAGGCTGGAAAAGCCTCCTTTGTTTACATTTCAGCCTGACTGAGATCTCTGAGACTGTGCTGAGCATGGGTGTGGAGGGTGTGGATGGGAAGGGGAAATGTGGCGTCTCATCCCAACCTGAACAGATTGCTTGTCAACTTGCCCACTCACCTCAATGCAATACTGTAGTTCAATTCTCATCAGTTCCAAAAGAGGCCTTAAGAGAAATGAGTGTGTGCAGCCCAGACATGCACAGACCTCTTGCACACTCTGCTGGCATTAGCCAGCAGTGCAGTCCTTTCTCACAGCTGGTTCACAGATACCTTCTGGGAAGAAAATTAATGTTCAGTGACATTGAATCGCTCATTACACTTTTCTGCTGGAAATTAATTAGACCAATCCCAGACAATGTGGAACCCCGAGGCCTGATGCATTAGAACAGTGTAGGAAGCAGTGAGGAAGAAATGCCACCTTAAAAACACTTGCATTTCTGCATTCTTTCATGACATCAAAAGCATTTAGAGACAATGAAGTACCTTTGGAACATACTGATTGTGGGAAACACAGTATGCAGCGAACTCCCACAAATGGCAATGTGTGGTACTTTCCAAATAATCTGTTTTACTTTAAACTAAAATAAAGAACTGCAGATGGTGGCGATATGAAACAAAAAACAGAAATTGTTGGAGAAACTCAGCCAGTCTGGCAGCAGAGAGAAAGCAGAGTTAACATTTTGAGTCCAGACACCTTACTTCAGATCTCCAGTTGGTGTCTGTGCCTTCAGCCGCCTAAGCCCCATGCTCTGGAATGCCCAGTTCTCAACCTCATTTTCAACTCTTGAGTCACTAATTCAGACCTACCCCTTTGACCAAGCTTATGGCCACCTTGCTCTATATAGCTTTTGTGGCACATTGGTAGTGTCCCTAGCTCTGGGCCAGAAGATCTGGAGTCAAGTCACATCTGCTCCAGAGGTGTGTCATAACATATCTGAACAGGTTGATTAAAAATATCTTTGGCCATCTGACCTCATGTCTTCTTAAGTGGCTTGGTTTCATACTTAGTTTTTAGAAAGCCCCTGTAATGATGCTTGAGATGTTTCATTATGTTGAAGGTTCTTCACAAATATAAGTTGTTGTTGAAAGGCAAAAGCAAGCACAGAGTGAAATAAGCAGTTTGTAGAGTGACACCTACAGAGGTAGGCCATTCAGCCCATGAGGCCTTTGCTAGCTCTTTAAAGAGCTGTCCCACTTCCCTGCTCTTTCCCCATACGATGGATAAATACTTGAAGAGGAAAGTTCCCATTTACCTCAAGAAATTTATTGTCGAATCTGCTTCTGGTGCCCCTTAGTTCAGGTTTCATTCTGAGCTCGATTTGCCTGATGGGTCAAGTCAGGTTTCACTCACAGAGAGTTGGCAATCGATCTGAGCAGATCACAGCAGGCTCAAGTATTGTAGCTCCAGCTTCAGACATCAGTTCCTACTCTACTTGACAGCCATGATACGAACAAATGAATTAAGAGCTGTATTAAGCCATACTTTATGATTCTTTTGGCTCTTCAAGCCTGCTCCACCATTCATTAAGATCATGAGTGTTCTGTTTGAGTTCCAAATTCAGATGAACGGCATGATCTGTATGATAGGCGAGCAGTTCCGATGGTTAAACAGCCTCTTCCTGTCTATGTGTGCCCAGTTCTGAACTGCTAAGTTTGTTCTAAATCGTTTCAACTGTCCCACTTCTCCTGCCTTGGGTTCTCCCCTCCAGCTTCATGTATTTCCAACACCTTTTGCGTTGTTTTCTGGGTCAGCTGACCGTTTGCTACAGAGCCTTAACTCACACCAGGGATCTGACCCAGATGTGGCCAGCTTGGGATAGCTTGAGGGATTTCCAGCACAGAAACAAACTGATTGCCTCAGCTGCTCCACTGTTCTTCATGCTCCACACAAGCTTCCTCCCACCCCTTTCCATCTAAATCCTATCAGCATATCCTTCCATCCCTTTCTTCCTCATGTACTTGTCTAACTTCCCCCGAAATGTAATTATATCATTCACTTCAACTATTTCCTGTGGTAGCAAGCTCCACCTGCTCATTACTCTGTAGGTTTAGAAGTTTATCCTAATTTGGCCTTTATCCTATTGGCTTTATTGATGACTTTCTTTTACATATGGTCCCTAGTTCTGGCCTCCCCATAAGTGAGACATCTTCCCCGTTCCCATTACTGAAAATCAAACTCGATCATAAGCTGAAAGGCCAATAACAAGAAGGGAATTGACAACATGCACAAGGCATCAGAATGAACCGAAGATTTATTTACATGCTTTTATTTACATTGGAGTACTACAGTTGGCAGGACTAACTGTGTTCTCATCCAAAAGACTGCCCTTCTTACATTGCAGCTCTCCCTCACTACTTCTCAGACAATTCAGCACCCCCTAACGATTGTTTCTCTGACAGAGCTGCCTTCCTCCACTATTGCTGCCCAGACAATGAAGCACTCCCTCAGTATTACATCTCCGTCAGTGTGGCCCTCCCCCACTGTTGCTTTCCAGGCCATGCTGTACCTCTTTAGTATTGCAACTCTGACAGTGTAGCCCTCCTTTAGCACTGCCCAGAGCACCCTCGGTACTGGAATGATTATTCTGGCTTAGATTTATGTTGCAAAACTCGGGAATGACCTCCGACCAGAGTCATGGCTGACCCCTAAAGCAACTTTGTCATCTCAACCCTAAATCCCAGCAGTTCCCCAAATTTGGTCTTTGTCGCATGTCACACACTCAAAAGATTAGTTTGAAGTAGTGTTGTTGGTTTATTATTCCTGTATAATGTGCTTCCAGATTTGATTAAAAAAAGACACTCTCTCCACATTCTGAAGCTGAGAAAGAAAGGCTAGCATTTCGAAAGCATCTTTCGCAACGGCAGGATGATCCACTGTCCTTCATAGCCCAATGAGGTACTTTCTTCAAACCTGGTCACTGTTGTAATACAGGAAACATGAAAGCCAATTTATACACAGCAGGATCCCACACACAACTGTAAAATAAATAATATAAGTTTATATATTGGTTAAGAGGGATACATGTTGTCTAGGACGATGGGAATTATTCTCCTTTCCAGTATGTTGTCAAAAACTCTGTCATAAGCACAGTGCATTTTTTTCCCCTACAGGCTAGTTGGGCCCTCAAGCCCTTCCACCATTCAATGAGATTGTGGCTAATCTGATTGTGGCCTTTCCTGCCTACTCCTAATAGCCTTTGATCCTTTGTTCTTGAGCCAGAGAAAACCTCTTAGAAAGACATTTTTCCCACAATGCTTCACTCTGAACCACCTTCAATCAACCTCATTCACTCCTGTTCCTGTCGGAAAGCCAGCACCAGGGATGTTAAAATAAAACATAAGACAATTCTGCTCCCCTACTTTTTCCCTATATCTATCTTTTCTTTTCCAAAAACTTATCCAGCTACCTTTTGAAAGGTATTATTTAATCTGCCTCTAGGCAGTTCAATTCAGTTCAATCAACAACCTGATGGCCTGGCATATCTCCTACTTTATCATTACCATCAAACCAGAGGATCAACCCTAGTTCAATGGAGATTGCAGGAAGGCATGCCAGGAACAGCACCAGGCAAACCTAAAAATGAGGTGTCAACCTGGTGATGCTACCAAACGGGACTACTTGCATATAAAAACAACATAAGCAGCAAGTGATAGAATTAAGTCATTCCACTTCAAAAGATCAGATATATACTCTGCATTCCTGCCACATTCATGAATGGTGGTAGACAATTAAACAGGTAACTGGAGAAGGAGTTTCTACAAACATTCCCCACCCTGCTTGATGGGGAACACAGCACATCAGTGCCAAAGATAAGGTTGAAGCATATATAACAATCTTCAGCCAGACATGCCAATGATCCATTTCACCTGCCAGACTCCAACCAATTCAACACACTGCAATGTGATATCAACAAAACAGGAACAAGAATAGACCATACAGCCCTTTGAGCCTATTCTACCACTCAATGAGATCGTGGTTGAAATGTAGCCTAATTGCATAGACCCATATCCTTTATATCTTTGGTTAACAAAAATTTATCTCGGATTTAAAACTAACAACTAATTCAGCATCCACTACCATTTGTGGAAGAGAGATCCAAACATCTCCCACCCTTTGTGTATAGACGGGCTTCCTAACATCCCTCCTGGATGATCTGACCCTACATTTTAGATCATGACTCCTAGTTTTAGAATCTTCAACCTGTGGATATAGTTTATCTATCCTGTCTTTTTCCATAAATATCCTGAAGACTTTGATCAGATTGCCCCTTAACCTTAATAATTGTAGAGAAACCAGGCCTAATTTGTAATCTCTACTAATAAACTAACCCCTGAAATCCAGGTATCATTCTTGTAAACTTCCTTCCTAAGGTCTGGTGCCCAGATCTGCTCAAAGAACTCCAAGTCATAGCTAGTCGGAGGCGATGGCCTAGTGGTATTATTGCTGGACTGTTAATCCAGAGACCCAAATAATGTTCTGGGGACCTGGGTTCAAATCCTGCCACGGCGATGGTGGAATTTGAATTCAATAAAAATATCTGGAATTAAGAATCTAATGCCGATTGTTGGAAAAACCCATCTGGTTCACTAATGTCCTTTAGGGAAGGAAACTGCCATCCTTACCTGGTCTGGCCTACATGTGACTCCAAGCCCACAGCAATGTGGTTGACTCTTAACTGCCCTCTGGGCAATTAGGGATGGGCAATAAATGCTGCCTAGCTAGCAACGCCCTCTTCCCATTCAAGAATAAAGAAAAAAAATGTGGGGTCTAACCTCTGCATCATTGTACTCCAGTTCCTCTAGATATAAAGGTCAGCATCCCATTTGCCTTCCAGATTATTTTCTGCACCTTTTAAATATCAATGCACCTGAACCCCTCAAAATATACAAAACACTGGATACTGCAAAAGCTATGGGCCCTGATAATATTCCAAACAATAGTGCTGAAAACTTGTGCTCCAGGACTTTCTGCACCTCTAATCAAGTTGTTGCAATACAGCTACAATACTGGCATCTACCCTGCAATGTGGAAATTTCCCATGTATGTCCTGTATACAAAAAGCAGGGCAAATCTAACTCAGCCAATTACTGCTCCATCAATCTATTCATAATTGTCAGTAAAGTGATGGAAGGGACCATCAACAAGTGCTATAAAGCATCACTTATTTAGTAATAACCTGGGTTCCACCAGGGCTGTTCAGCTCCTGATCTCATCACAGCCTTAGTTCAAACTTGGCAAAAGCCCAACTCCAGAGGTGAGGTGAGGTGATGCCCTTGGCATCAAGTCAGCATTTCACCAAGTATGGCATTAAGGAGCCTGGACAAAACTGGAGTCAATAGGAAACCACAGGTTCTAGTTATACCTGGCACATAGGAAGATAGTTGTGGCTTTTGGAGGGCAGTCAGCTCAGCTCCAGGACAGCCTGCAGGAGTTCCTCAGGATAGTGTCCTAGGCCCTACCATCTTCAGCTGCTTCAGCAATGACCTTACCTCCATCATTGGGTGAGAAGATGTTTGCTGATGATTGTACAAAGTTCGACATCAATCATGACTCTTCAGAAACTGAAGCAGTCCATGTCAAAATGCAGCAGGACTTGGACAATATCCAGGTTTGGGCTGACAAGTAGCAAATAACATTTGCATCTTGCAAGTGTCTGGCATGACATACCATTAACATTTAACGGTATCACAAGAATTGTTCGAAGGACGAGAAACTTTAGTTACGAAGATAGATTGGAGAAGTTGGGACATATTTGTTTGGATGGGTGAAGGCTGAGAGAAGTATTGATAGAAATTTTGAAAATTATAAAGGTTCCAGACAGAATAAATAAGGAAAATTGCCCCTGACCATAACAGGATTGTGAGCCAGAATGCACAGTTTTGGAGTATTTTGTGTTGGAAGAAGTGAGAAATACTTTTCCAAGTTTGGAAAACACTGCTTCGAAATGTTGGAGAGGCAGGTTCAGTTGAGCCGGTCAAGAGGAAATTGGATGATGATTGTTTACATAGAAACAATATACAGGGTTGAGGAAAAGGCAGGAGTTTGTCACTAAATAAAATGTTCAGAGAACTAATGCAGACACTATGGGCTGAATGGCCTCCTTCTGCACCAAAACAATTCTGTGATTACCAGAGCTGCAAGCACCATTATCAACATCCTGAGGGTTATCACTGACCTGAAACTGAACTGGACTAGCCACGTAAATAACGTGGCTACAAGAGCAGGTTGGAGGCCAGGAATGTAGTAGTGAGTTACCTATTTGCCTGACTGCCCAAAACCCATCCACCATCTTTGCTAGGAACAAGTCAGGGGTGTTATACAATACTCCCCACTTCCCTGAATGTGTACAGAGCCAAAAACACTCAAGAAGGCTGACGCCATTCAGGACAAAGCAACCTGCTTGATTGTTTGGATGGATGTTGTGCCGATCACTTCCCACAACATTGAAGGAAAGTCGTAGCTGTGTGTACCACCTGCAAGATGCGCTGCAGAAATTCACCCAGGCTCCTTAGACAGCCCCTTCCAAACCCACAACCAGTACTTTCTAGTAGAGAGTCAGTTAGCTCAGCTTGCTGGACAGCAGATTTGCGATGCAGAGTGGGTTTAATTCCTACACCAGCAGAGTTGATCATGAATGACTCTCCTTCTCAATCTCCCCCCACCCTGCCTGAGATGTGGTGACCTTCAGTTTAAACCACCACCAGTCATCTCTCTCTACTGAAAAAGCAGCCCTATGGTCTGGTAAGACTACACCAACCTTATGTTTAATTTTACTTCCTAGAAGGACAAGTTGAGTAGATGGATGGGAACACCATCACAGGCAAGTTTCCTAACAAGCTGTTTTCCATTATGATTTAGAAAACATATCAGGTCCATTCATTGACACAGAGTGACAATCCTGGAACTCCCTCTGGAATAAGATTGTGGGTGCATACACACCAGATGTTGGCAGTGGTTTAAGGGGGCAGCTCACAAATGGCCATTTCAAGGGGAACTAGGGATAGACAATAAATACTGGCCCAGCTAATGAATCCCAATACCCCTTGAGTGACTATATAAAAAAATTTTGACTGTATAAAAATAATCAACATCTCCTCTTTGGTTCTTTTGTCAAATACCTTAAAATCTGTGGCCTCTGATTGATGATCCTCCTGACACTGGAAATAAATCTCCTCCATTCATTCTGGTCAGAACTCTCCATGATTTTAAACACTTCTATCAAACCTCCCATAATGTTCTCTTCTCTAAAGGGACTTATCTCAGCATCTCCAGCCTTTTCGCAAAGCTGAAGTCCCCTCATTCCTGGTAGGATTCTGATAAATCTGCTCTGCACCCACTTTAGGCCTCATCATTCTTCCTAAAGGTGGTGGACAGTTTACATTGAACTCTTCAGAAGTGATGAGCTCAAGGCTTTCCCAAACACACAGTCTCATTCCATGGTCAGGTCAGATTCTAACACATTATACTCCAAGTGTCTCAGCTGATTGATCGAGTTTACATCTGCATCCTATCCTCAATGTTTTCTTATTCCACAACTTGAGTCCACTCTGAGCAAGGATAACCCCATAATTTTGATTTTGTCAATTCCAGAGTCATGGGTGCACCCGAAGACCAATACTTTATTGCCTATTGCAGTTTGTTCCCTGCAGGGGTGATAATGAGCCTTTGTCTTGAACCATTGTCGGAGGTTTAATACAATTAGTGGAAGAATGCTGCAGTGCTTATGCTCCTGGCAAAATAATTGGCTGGAACTTTGAGAATTGGGGCGGTACGGTGGCTCAGTGGTTAGCACTACTGCCTCACAGCACCAGGGACCCGGGTTCGATTCCACCCTCGGGCGACTGTCTGTGTGGAGTTTGCATATTCTCCCCATGTCTGTGTGGGTTTCCTCTGGGTGCTCCAGATTCCCCCCACAGTTCAAAGATGTGCAGGTTAGGTGGATTGGCCATGTTAAATTGTCCATCGTGTTCAGGGATGTGTAAATCAGGTGGATTAGCCGTGGGAAATGCAGGGCTATAGGGAAAGGGGGTGGGGGTGGGGACGGGGTAGGGGGGGATGCTCTTTGGAGGGGTGGTGTGGACTTGTTGGGCCAATTGGCCTGTTTCCACACCGTAGGATTCTATGGTGATATGAGTTTGAAAGCAGTTGGAAATGAAAAGTTGGTCTGAGGGAAAGTAACCATGAAGCTGTCGGGAAAAACCCAATTGGCTCATCAGCGTCCTTTAGGGACAGAAACATGCATTCCTTACCTGATTTGAATCTATACATGAGTCCTATTACACATCAACATGATTGACCATAACCACCTTCCAAAATAGTTCAACAAGATACTTCTTTTGTGTTAAACCTATTGATTTCAGAATGTAGCCCACCATCTTTCCAAGGCAAACAAGGATATCAATAACTATTAGTATTTCCAGTATTCCTCACATTCCCAGAAGGAAATGAAATCAATGAAACCTATGCCTTCAATCTTCACATCTAAATTCACCTGAAATGCCCTCAAGATGTGTCATTTCATAACTGAGGAGTCAGAGGTAACCCAATGTCAAAGTAGTAATGATGTTACCATCACTCATCCCATCCAGTGACAGATACGCACACAACGGCATATAACTGTTTCATTGATCACCGAATTAGATCAACATTACAGAGATTCCAGGACACTGCCACAAAGCACTGCCCCTTGTCATTTGTGCTCCTGAGAGCAAACAGAGTATTGGGCAATCAGCTTGGCTCCAGGAAGTGTCATCGGTTGGAATTCCAAATCCCATCGCACAATGTTCACTCCATGGCTATATTTTATATGCTCACGTGATTCCATGTTCATGTTCCAGGAATGTCTCACCACGGGAGAGGCTCTGCACACGTTTAAATTGTTCACAATGAAGGTTGGTGCTCTTAGAGAAAGCCCTTGATGAACACACCAATGAACCCATCTTCTGTGTGGAACCTGATGTGTCAGCTTAATGAAGTGTAGGTTGCTGGTTCCCCATCCGTGGAAATTCTGATAAGGACCACAGTCCGATCCCCTCACATCTCCCATGTGAAGCACCAATCCTGGAACCAAAGGCCTGTCACCCATTCCTCCAGTTGGATATGATTCCACATGTAGGGTCCGAATTTAGGTGGGAATATTCATACAAGGAGTTCCTCATCCTGGTGGGAAACTGGACTGGATGATGGTGGAGGAGGGGCAGCTCGAATCTGAAAAAGTTGAACAGCAACAAAGGTTCAAGTGAGTTATTTGTTAAACACAAATTCAGGGCATTAAGGCCTGAAATATTTTTCCCCTGTCTCCTCTCCCACTCCCCTGGGATCTACACAAACCAAAGGAGCTCGTAATCAAAAAGTATAACTGGGACATCACCTCAAACACTGAACAAAGATTGCAAACCATCTCAGCAAAGGGCAGCAGAGGAGATATTGTGGCAAGTGACCCAGAAGTTAAAGGTAGGGTCGAAGGAGCCTTTTATTGCATGAGAGACTTTGGGAGAGAATCCCAAAACATAGGGTCCAGGTGACTGAAGACAAGACCACCAATGGGGGAGTGATTAAAATTGAGGAGTGGAGGAATGTACATATGTTAAATGCTTGGGGAGCTGGAGGGAATGATGGAGATACAAAGGTGTAAGGCATTGGGAGGGCTTTGAAAATAAGGATGAGAATGTTAAACACGGAGCTGCCATGGGTCTGGGAGTCTGTGTAGATCAGTGAGCACAGGGGCGACCATAGAATCCTTCCAGTGTGGAAGCAGGCCATTCAGCCCATCAAGTCCACACCAATCCTCCAAACAGCAGCTCACCCAGCCCCGGCCCCTACCCTAGCCCTGTAACCTTGCATTTCCCACAGCTGATCCACCTAGCCTGCACACCACACATGGCCAATCCACCTAACCAGTGCACCTTTGGACTGTGGGAGGAAACCAGAGCACCTGGAGTAAACCCACACAGACATGGGGAAAACATGCTAATTCCACATCAAACCCAGCTCGCTGGCACTGAGAGGCAGCAGCGCTAACCACTGTGCCATCCGTGATGGCTGAATGGGAGCTGGTGAAAGATAAGATACAAGCATCAGAGGTTTCAGAGGGAACAGATGAGGAGGCGAAACTACAGCTTTGTGAGACGTATGGCTAACAGGATGATGCATTTCCCCAGCCGGAGCTCAATGATATCAAGTTACACATTACTATTTTTCAGATAAATCCTCTCTTACAGGTCTAAGTCGTCCAGTAGGCATTTCAGAAGTGGGCTCCAGGATGTGGGATTCCTCCTTCTGAACAGCAGAAACTGTAAAGTGAATAAAGTGGAATCAATTCTGGATATTCTAGAGCCCCTGAGATCTATACACTCACAGTTAATGTTGTTAACTCTGGTTGGACATTACCCTGAAAGTTACATTATAAAATCTCCAACAACCCCACATAAGCAAACAGCCTCTTCCACACAGAGTCAACAGTAAATTATAATTATTGGGCCAGTTCTTTTTGCAGAATGACAAACAATTAAGATAAGAACATAAGAGAACAGGAACAGACAAAATGAGCCCTCAAGCCCCCTCCTCCTCCATTCAATGCAGTCAGGGCAGATCTTTAGCTTCAAATCCACTTTCCTGCTTATTTCTCACATTGTGAGCCTGTGTATTAGTCTGTGTCAGTCCCTCAGAAAGGGAATGATATTGCTCAGAGCAAGAAACTGTACTTGGGGTCTTTTACTGTGAGGAGTCTGTTGCAACTAAATGGTTCTGCCTGACTAAGAATCACTGTCTTAGCACCTGCCATGGGTGTATCAGAAGGACTTTAAACGTTAACAATCAATGAAAACTACTTAGCTGCAATACGATGCATGGCTATCAAGTACTGAGATGGGATCTGAACCCAGAGCTCCTAGTTCAGAGGTAGGCACACTACCACTGTGTCACCAGACCTCCTACCCTTCCTTAATCCCTGAGAGACCAAAGACCTGCCCATTTCAGCCTGAAATATGAAGAAACTTCCACAACTTTTCAGGATAAAGAATTATAGAAGATATTAAAAAGCACGCCCCTGGTTAAGGATGTTGGCTTTGAGAAGTGAAAGTTGTTTAGAGAGATCAGTATAGAGCTAAGGCACCTGATTAGCCATGGCATGGAAAGACACAGGAGGAAGCTATTTAGCTTCTGGAACTTGTTCTGCTATTTTTCAAGATCACAGCAGTTCCATAGCTTCACTGCAGTCATCTGAATTGGCTGCATACTCCTTAATACCTTTGGCTAGCAAAAATCTATCAATCTTAAATCATAATTATTAATTCAGTTAGCATCCACTGTCGGTTGTGAATTCCAAGCTTCCACTATCTTCTCACAAAGATGTGTTTCCACATTTGCCTCCCGAATGGCCTGACACTGATTTGAAGATGATGTCCTCTCATCCAGGACTCCCTCCATCAATGGAATATAATTTATATCTACCCCATCAATTCCTTTCAAGATCCTAGAACCTCACAATCTCTCCTTAACTATCTGGAATGTAGGGAACACAAGGGTGATTTGGGCAATCTTTCCTCGTAATCTGACACTTTCTGTACTGTACCTACACCTCACTGTTCCTAAGGCCAACAAAGCAATGTGCAGTGCTCCAAATGGAGTCCAGGGTTGCTGAGCAAAGATGGATTGATGGATTGAAGATACAGGTCAAGCAGAATTTCAGTGAAAGATGGAATAGGTTCGAAGGCCAGAATGTCTTCCTCCAATTCCTCTGTAGCTAAATGGGCTCCTCCATGTTTTTCTCAGTAATGGGCTTTAGGGGCTGAATCATGAGACCCAGTGTGTATAACAAAACATTAAATATATTTACCACTGTTTCTAGGTGACACTTGGAGTCTCTCTTGCTGTGTGGATCCTACAGCGTGATATGGCACCACACTAGAATCAGGAGCAGGAGGAGAGAATGGAGGAGGGGATGTGGGATCCTGGAAAATAAAACAATGTAGTCAACAACAATTCACTTGCAGAGTTTGAGCTTCCGAATGGCCTATTCCTACTCCTGTATATTTTCTCAGTATTGAACCAAACAGTGGGAAGCGAGCTAATGAGGTAAAAAAGAGCAGACTGTAGATTCCCACTCTCTGCACCTATCTGATCTCAGTGGGAGAACATCCAACTTCATCACAAAGGCAGGAAAGACCTCACATTCTGTCAATGCTTGGTTGAAAGGGTTACCAGCAAATTGTGGAGAGAAACACAGAGCACTAAACAATGGGGGTGCAGGGAGGGGAGAAAGGGAAGAGAGTCAATGTGTCAGGAAGATTTAGAGATATATTCAGTATTGAAAGAGACGGAGTTTGTGACACAGTGTACAAGCACAGTAACTGAGGGATACATGCATCTTAGAACAAGATTACAGATGCTAAGAAGTTTGAATGAATGATTGGTTTTCCTGACACTTTGATAATTGAGTTGAGGAGACTAGCTGTTCACCATTGCAGTTGGTGTCATCTCATCTGTGATGTTAGACAAAATCTTGATTTGCAGATCTGATTAGGTTTGTTAGATGTGAATTCGCTGTAGGAGGGCTGGGTAAATACCTTGCTTTGCAGTGTACTCACCTGACCTGTGGGGATTTGACTCTGCCCTTCTCAAATGTTGACGTTGCTTGATGACTGTGTTGTCTCCATATGCATCTGCCCCAGGTTATTTCTATCCTATGTTGTGATGCCCTTTTTATGAAAAGGCAAACTGGGTTCTCTATTTTACATTAAGGGGACACTGAACATGGAAGCAAAAGGAGATGAGGATGAATTGGGGATATTGTTCGGGTCATAGCTCGAGTATTTAGTGCTTTTCTGGGATATCCCATAACAGGAAGCGTATTGGAAACAAAGGAAGAGAGCAGTGACAATTGATTAAACAGCAGCAGGAACGGGAGGGAAGAGTTTATGAAAATTTATTAAAACTTTCACGAAATGGAAAGGCCACAGTGGGAGGAAGGGGAAGTTATGTCAACACGAGATGCCTGTACAAAGGGAAGATCATGAAAGATTTAAATCAGCTCCACCAAAGCTGCGCAGACTGATTAAAAGCCACAAATTTCCTGTGTTCAGTACCAGCATCGGTTCCAACTCCAGATCTGTCCCTTCCCCAACCAGCAGCTCGACGAGCAAGGATGGAAACACGCCAATTCGGCCATTGAATTCTCCTTCCCAGAATCCATCATCCACTCCACGCTCACCAGTGTGAAGGACCTTGATCAGGCCACCCTCAGGGAAGCACAGCTCCTCTGCACTCTGTCCCTCATAATCGTACAACGCCCGGGCCAAGCAGACTGTGAAAACAACATCCACAACATCAGCTCCTCAACATAGCCCCCAGCACAGCCCGTAAGTGTGAGGATAAGCCGTCCTTAAGCAGACTGTGATCCACCCTGTTACAGTGAGGTCAAGGCTCAGGCAACAGCACCAGAAAAACCTGCAACCTCTACCACCAAGAAAGGGGAGGACAGCAGCCGCACGGGGACATCACCACCTCAACGTTCCCCCCCAGGTCACACATAGCATCATAATTTGGCCATTTCAATCATTGGTTACTTTCTCAATAATGCCTTCCTGGCAATGTAGCACTCCCTCAGTGCTGCATTTGTAAAAGACAGTATTCGTAAAGGGGACTGCTGAGGGAGTACTGATCCAACAGAGGGCAGCTCTGAGGGAGCGCCGCACTGTCAGAGGGTCAGTACTGAGGGAGCGCCGCACTGTCAGAGGGTCAGTACCGAGGGAGCGCCGCACTGTCAGAGGGTCAGTACCGAGGGAGCGCCGCACTGTCGGAGGGTCAGTACCGAGGGAGCGCCGCACTGTCAGAGGGTCAGTAATGAGGGAGCGCCGCACTGTCAGAGGGTCAGCACTCAGTCTGGATTTTGAGCTCAAGTCCCTGGAATATGAAATCTAGAACCTCTTGATTCAGAGATGTTAAGATGGCTATTCTGGTCCAAAATCCAAATCGAGTTTCCCCTTTGTTTGCACAGTGTACAGATTTTTCAAGCGAAATTCTTTGCCAATTAATGGACCCTTCCTGATTCACCTTCTCCTCTCTCAGTGTTCCATGGGGTGTTCAGGGGTGGCTGGAAATGGTCCCTGCCCACATTGACAATGGGTTAAAAGATCAAGATTAGACCTACCTCCATCTGCTGCCTGCTCCAGGCCACTGCAAACCATCAGTTCCTGCTCAGCAGAGCTACTGGATGAGGAATAGGACGTGATGTCAGAGGATGTTACCACGGAGATCCTGCTGGATAGGCTGTTCCCACCTGGAAACTGGAGATACTTTTCAGGCACATAGCCTATTTGGCCAGATTTATTCCGGGCCTGAAAAAGGGGTAGACAAAAGGAATTTAAAAAACAGAATTGAGGATAATAAGTAAATTTCTCCAACAAGAGAAAATTTAACTATCTCCCCTTGACATTCCATGGCATTAGCATCACTGAATACCCCCACCACCAACATTCTGGGCCTTTCTGTTGACCTGAAGCTGAACTGGACCAGCCATTTAAATAAATCCTGTGGCTGCAAGAGCATGTCAAAGGCTGGGAATTCTGTGACAATTCTGTGGGTTATCTACAAGGCACAAGTCAGGAGTGTGACGTAATACTCCCCTGGATAGGTACAGCTCCAAAAATACCCAAGAAACTCAGCACTGTCCAGGGCAAAAAGCACCTTAAACATTCACTCTGTGCACTGCTGAGCACTGTAGCAGCAGTGTGCACCATCTACAAGATGAACTTGCAGAAGTTCACCAAGGCTCCTGCTACTGCACCTTCTAAACTCATGACTCATACTCCTAGAAGGACAAGGACGGCAGGTGGCAACTTGCAAATTCCCCATCAAGCCGCTCAACATCCTGACTTGGGTTTCCTCCGGGTGCTCCAGTTTCCTCCCACAGCCCAAAGATGTGCAGGTTAGGGGGGACTGGCCATGCAAAATTGCCCATAGTGTCCAGGGATGTGCAGGCTAGGTGGATTAGCCATGGGAAATGCAGGGTTACAGGGATAGGTAGGATGCTCTTCAGAGGGATCTATGATTCTGTGATAGAAATATTTCAGCGTTCCTTCAGTGTCACTGGGTCAAAATTCCGGAACTCCCTCCCTAAGGGCATTATTGTTTACCTACATCAAATAAACTGCAGCGGTTCAAGAGGCATTTTGCCACCACTTTCTCAAGGGCAACTAGGGACATGGGAAAAAAATGGTGGCCCAGCCAACAACACCCACATCTCATGAAAGAATTTAAAAATTAACCAAAGTCTGTAGAGGTTTGAAGACCTCAGTAAGGAGTTTTATGTGGTTGGTGCTTATCAAAGTGCATCCAGCAAATGTCAGGGCAGGAACAAATGGGCTGAATGATCTACTCCTGCTCTTAGTTCTTATGTTCCAGATCTTATGTTCTTTACAAAGATGATATTGAGTATGAGGGGGTGTTCACCTCCATGAAGAGATTGTAAAAGTTGAAATTATTCTCATTTATTCAGGTTAAGAGGACTCATATTCAGAGACTGATCAGTTGATACACAGAAGGCTGCTGATAGTCGTTAATCTCACTTCCCTGCCCACTTCCTTTCCTAATTGCTCTTTGCTGGTTTTGAGTGTCTCCATGATGAGGAAATAAAAGTTCAGATATGATGGAGAAAGAGCAGAAAAATGGGACAGATAGGAATCCCTATCAAAGAGCTAGGATTGGGTCAATGGGCTGAATGGTACCCTTCAGTGTTGTACCAGTTTCAAAGACTCAGTCAACAAGCGTAGACTGAAAAATCCGTTTGGACAGTACATCAACCCCTCAGCCTTACAAGGCTTCAGCAATTGGTTTCTCTGGTCACAGATAGCCAGACCCCTGGGGGTTGCATCCAAACATTAACGTTGAAAATCTTCATAAGAGGCACAACTGATTCACAGCTACCTATGGCCAATACTGTCTTTGTGACTGGATTGGGATAATTTGTACACAATGTATTACTCTCCCAGTGCTTCCTTATCCGTTAGAAGACCTTGTGGAACAGAAGTTCATATCTGGCTTAAACATCACAATGAAGACAACTAACTTTGGACTTTTTGTTTTGCAGGGACAAATATGCAATTGGAATTGGAGGTTGTGTGTGTTCACTGAACACAGCCATTTAATGTTCATCGATGAGCAGTTTATGTAAACAATTATTATTAAAAGAGCCTTTACAGAATTAAATCAGACTTAGAAAATGCCTTTCACAAATTGTGGACATCACAAGATCCCAAATCCCAGCTCAGTCAGTGAGAGACCGGCCCCGACTCCCAGCTCAGTCAGTGAGAGACCAGGACAGTCATGAGTTGGGAGTGGGGCCCTGGATTATTACTCTGGTGGAAAATGGAGAGTCCATGTAGAATCATCTTCACTGTACTCACCTTCACCCAGTGCTCCATGTCACCATCTTCAATCACCTCGAGCTGCTCTTCTAGAGCGATGGTCAGTTCATCAGACTGTGCGGCCTGTACACAGGACGCAAGACACTCAGGAAATCACACATTGATATTCTAAACAATGATATAAAACTGAAGAAATTATGTCTTAAACTGTTAAAAAGAAACACTGAAGAGTCCCCAGCTAGAGCGTTGCATCCCATTCTTGACACCACAGTTATATTTTCCTAAAAAACTGATTTTTTTTCGTTAGAAGTACACTGGCAGCCTCACGTGGGTATGTTCAGTAATTGACCATGACGGTAATCATATTGTAAATCAAAACTTATGGCCCATCAAGGATTTGACTTGTTACAAGCAGCTGTGATTATAACAATAGAGGTTCTCTAAAGGGAAATCAATTAATATGTGAAAAGGAAAATTGCTACAGGGCTAAGGAGAATAAGCAGGTAAGTGGGACTAACTGGATAGCTCTTTCAAAAAAACCAGCAATGGCACAATAGGTTGAATGGTCTCTTGAGTTACAAGATTAAAAATCCTGTTCAGTCAGCACATCCAACCACTCCCTGTGAGGGCACACAGGGAAGGAATAGGTTTGGACTTTATGATGAGGTTCCTTATTATCAGAGTACAAGTGTAAGCTACAGGCGTGACTTTATCAGGTGGACTCAAAGCAATAAATCACTGGCATAAAATAAACAAATGTGTACCGGAACAGTAAACATCACCAGTTGGGAAATCCTAACCCCGACTTGGGCGGCAGGGCGAGATGACTTGCTGAAAATCATGTGGGCATCACAATGGAGTCAAATCTTGTTCTTGTCCATGAGAACTGCTCACAAGACACTCTCTGACTTGTGGCCAGACCAGGAACTCTGGCTGATTGGCCATCCTGTTCGCAGCCCAATGAAACACAGTTCTTTTGTATAAACACAGACAAATTCAGGAACTCTGGCACAGACCTAAAACTGAAGGCCAGAGTGTTTCTGGTCCAGGGGAATCAGTTCTGCATTCATCTGGTTCATTGGTGAATGTAGGCACTATTTGTTTCTTTATTCAATCATAGGATGTGGGCTTCATTGGCTGGCCAGCATTTATTGCCTGTCCCTGGTTGCCCCCTTGAGAAGGTGAGCTACATTTTTAAACCACTGCAGTTCATGTGCTGTAGGTAGCCCCACAATGACATTGGGAGGGAATTCCAGGATTCTCACCCAACGACACTGAAGGAACAGCGATATATTTCCAATTCAGGGTGGACAGAGGCTTGGAGGGGAACTTGCAGGTGGTGGTGTTCCCATATATCTGCTGCCCTTATGATTCGACATAGAATCAGAAGTGAGTTTAGAAGGTGCTCTCTAAGGAGCCATGGTAAACTTCTACAGTGCACCTTGTAGATGGTATACACTGCTGTTACTCAGCATTGGTGGTAGAGGGAGTGAATGCTTGTGGATGTGGTGCCAATCAAGTGGGTTGCTTTGTCCTGGATGGCGTCCAGATTCTTGAATGTTGTTGGGACTGCACCCATCCAGGCAAGTGGACAGTATTCCCTCACAGTCCTGACTTGTGCCTTGAAGATGGTGGGACAGGCTTTGGGGAGCCAGGAGTTGAGTTACTTGCTGCAGAATTGCAAGCCTCTGACCTGCTCTGGCAGTCATTGTGGTTATGTGGTTAGTCCAGTTCAGTTTCGAGTCGCTGGTAACCCCAGGATGTTGATAGTGGGAGATTCAGTGATGGTAACACTATTGAATGTCAAGGAACAATGGTTAGATTCTCATTTGTCCAAGAAGGTAACTTGTGCCTGGCATTTGTGTGAAACAAATGGTATTTGTCAGCTCAAGCATGGATATTGTCCAGGTCTTGCTGCATTTGTACCTGGGCTACTTCAGTAACTGAAGAATTACAAATGGTGCTGAATGCAATTCCCCCATCTGACCTTATGATGGACAGAAAGTCATTGATGAAGCAGCTGAAGATGGTTGGGCCTAGGACACTACCCTGAGGAACTCCTGCGGAGGTGTTCTGGAGCTGAAATGATGGACCTCCAACAAGCACTGGGGGCAAGTATTACACTGCCTGGGGGTCAGTACTGGGGGAAGAGTGTTGCACTGCCTGGGGGAGCACTGCACTGTTGGAGAGGCTGGCATTTGAATGCTATGTTAAACTATGAACCCACCTGCCTCATTGACGGAAGTGAATGTAAAATATAATCCCACATTGATAATTCAAAGAAGAGTAGAGAAGGTACTTTCTCGTCCAGTACAATAGTTGACCAACATCAGTGAGAATATTATCTCATTACTATCCTACTGCCTAAGCTATGAGCTGCCGTCTTTAATGTGAGATTAAACTAACGATCCCCGTATGTGAAAGTAGCGGATGACCCACAGTGCATTGGAGTTAGCGGACTCCTGATCTCCTCACCTGGTAACTGTAGAGTACTTTACAGAGTACTGGGTACATTCGGGGAGAACCGCCCAGGTTTGACTGACTGCCCTCAAAGATCTCACTGGTGTCATCAAATTCCTCGAAATCTGTGAAATCTAACTCATCAAACTGTGAAAAAAAAAAACAAGTAAGTTGAACATTGAGGCAAACAGCTGTCATGGGAAAAGAGACAGACAAACAGAGAGAGGGATCCAGAAAGAGACAGAGGGACAGAGAGAGAGAGAAAGAGAGAGAGAGAGACAGAGGAACACACAGAGAGAGAGAGAGAGAGAGAGAGAGAGAGAGAGAGACAGAGACAGAGGGAAGAGAGAGACAGACAGAGAGACAGAGACAGAGGGAAGAGAGAGACAGACAGAGAGACAGAAAGAGAGAGAGATAGAAAGAGAGAGAGAGATGCATAAAGATGTGGAGAGGACAAGAGGGAAAAAACAAATGTGGTGGTGAGAGAAGACAGAAAGGGACAGAAAAAGCGAAGTGAAAGAGAAGGGAGAAAATGAGAATAGAATGGAATAGCAATTTATTGTCACTTGTGTTTATGAAAATACAGTGAAATGTGTATAAATCATCATAATGCGGCACAATTTTAACTACAGAAATTATAAAAAGAAATAATTGAGACAGAGTTAGGACAAAGTGCATCTTTTGTTCCCACCACGGCTCCTGGTTTATGGAGTGGCTACGGGATGTCACCATTGAAGCCGCCCGTGAGGTGAACAAGGCAAGGACCAGACTCACCATGCTGTCCCCCCTTCCCCTCCTCGAACCCACTTTATCGCCATAGCCTCAAAGAACAAACCAGAACCAGCATGTATGAGAGAGAGAGAGATAGGGAGAGAGAGACAGGATGAGAAAGAGAAAACGGGGGGGAGAGAGAGAGAGAGGCGGGGAGAGAAGGAAGGGAGGGGAGGAGAAATGTGAGAGACAGGGGAGAGGGAGAGAGGGGGAGGGGTGCGGGGATGGGTGGTAGAGGGAGGTAGGAAGAGTTGGGGGGAGATTGGGGAGAGATTTTGGAGACTGAGGGAGGTGGAATCAAGTGTGGAAACAGTGGTGGATGGAGATAAAGAGAGAGGCTATGAGAGAGGAAGGGTGAGAAAGTGAGACAAATATAATCAGAGACAGGAGGAGTGATAGAGAGAGAGAGAATGAACACAAAGTTGGAGAGAGAATGAACACAGAAAGTTGGAGAGAAGGAGAGATGGAGAGACACACAAATGATGACAGAGAGAGAGAGAGAGAGAAAGAGGGAGATTTAAGTGCAGAAGTAAACTGAGGAATGGACACAGACACAGAGAGAGAGAGAGATTGCAGAGAAACAGACTGAGATGTAGGCTCCTTTCAAGCTGAGGGCATGTGCAGCTGCTCCGAGGTCCCCAAAGTTTCAGTCAGTCCATGTGCTGATGTCACTCGCAGCTTTACTTTCGGGTTTCGGAAGTCTCTGCCCCGCTCAGGCCTCACAGCTCCACATAGAAGAGAAAGGGATAGTGAGATTGCTGATAGTGAGAAAGGAAGTTTGAAGTTAGTTTGAGGAGAGTGATGTCGCTGTAGTTGACGGAGACAGTGGTCCATTTTTGACAGGTTATAGTAAGAGTGGGTTTTACAATGATGTGGCCTGGAGCTCACTCACCTCTGGGAGGCCTCCATTTGATACTCGAGCCTCACTCAGCTTTCTCTCTCTCTCTAGCTCCTCACTTGCCTGGTTCATAGTGCTGACTAGCCATGTGTCCACCTCTAGTCCAGCTTCACGTAGCAGGTTCAGGCGTGAATCTGCCTTCATCTTGCTTGTCTGCGTAAGAAATAGAAGGATGTAATTGTTCAGGACTGACTCAGAGAAAGGAGGCATTGCTAGACCTGCTTCTTGGGTCTGTGGAGGGCCAAATGGATCTGGTATTAGTCAGAGAGCACTGAGGTGACAGTGATCCATCTGCCATATAGCTTGGGTTGGCTCTGGGAAAGCACAGCTATCGGTCCAGAGCAGGAATAATTAACTCCAACTCCAAAGAATGGATCTGGCCTAGATAAACTGAATTGAAGATTGACAGGAAAGACATTAGCTGAACACTTTGAAGACGCAGTTCAGGTGCAATCAAAGGTTTTATTCCCCTAAAATTGAAAAATAAAAGCATGAAATTCCAGACCTCTGTGAATGCGATAGAGATTAGGATGTTAAAGGAAAATAACATGTCTTTTGACAGCTATTGGAGAGATAATACAGAAGAGAGCTAGGCTGAATGTGAATGAGGGTCAGGCACGAGGTGAAAAAGCAAATAAGTGAGGCAAAGGCAGAATACGAGAAGAGACGAGCAACTAACTTAAAAGGACAATCCAGAGCTATCTCCACAGGCATTTAAAGAGTGAAAAGTGAGGCCTATTAATGAGCAGAAAAGTGGATTAACATTTGGAAGTCAAGTTTAGTTCAAGTATTGTATGAATACTTTCCCAATAAACATGTTTCCCAGGTCAGGGTGAGCGAGGAGGTAGTTTAAACATATGAAGGATTTGAAATGGATATGGAGGGGCACTGCATATCTGTCTTTGTCTAACAACACCAGGATCAGAGAAAATCCATCTACGGAGGAAAATGAGAGTGAAAACTGTAGAAAGACACCACCCCCCCGCCCACAAAGGGTTGTCAGTATGAACATGGCTCCTGTCAAGAGTGTTTTTGGGCAGGAGATGTGGGGGAGAGGGGCTGTGGTTGGGGGAGAGGGCTGTGGAGTGGGTAGGAGCAGAGGAAGAGGCAGCAGTGGGGCACCTTGGGAGGGCAGACAGAGAGGGGACAGAAGGAGAGGGGTGCGGAGGGACAGGGGGTGGAGGGGGAGGGTGATGGGGAGATGGGGCAAGGGAGGGGAGGATGGAGGGAGGGGGGGTGGGGGGGAGAGGGGGCAGGGGAAGGGAGGATGGAGAGAGGGGTACGGAGGGAGAGAGGAGTGGAAGGAGAGGGGTGTAGAGGGAGAGGGGTGATGGGGAGATGGGGCAGGGGAGAGGAGGGCAGAGGGAGGGGGGTATGGAGGGAGAGAGGTGTGGAGGGAGACAGGGCAGGGGAGGGGAGAACAGAGGGAGGTGGTACGGAGGGAGAGAGGGGTGCAAGGAGAGGGGTGATGGGGAGATGGGGCAGGGGAGGGGATATGGAAGGAAAGAGGGGTGGAGGGAGAGGGGGGTGCAGGGGAGTAATAAACAAAATTCATAACATAGCACTGTGCAGAGGGTTGTAAAGGAAGGCCGGGCCGAAATCAGTGCCAGGTCGGAACAAGAGCAACTCGGCATTGCCTCCCATTGCCGGTCAGCTGCAAGAGTTAAACAGTCAGCCTTTAACAGCTACTTGAGTCCAATGACCTGACACACCATCCCCTCACCCTGCTTGCTGCACGTGGGACAGCCACTACTTCATCATCATGCAACATAGCCCATTGTGGATCCCAGCCCATCACAGGAGTGAGCGCTGCCCAGAGAGTAATGGTCACTCCACCCCGTTACGGGTAACAGCGCTACCCAGAGAGTAATGGTCATTCCAACCCGTTATGGGTAACAGCACTGCCCAGAGAGTAATGGTCATTCCACCCCGTTATGGGTAACAGCACTGCCCAGTGAGTAACAGTCACTCCCTGGGTCACAGGAGTGAGCAGTGTCCAGAGGAAATGATCACGGTCACTCCATTGGGTCACAGTGTCAGCTCTCTGCTGCAGCATTACTTGGCCAGTTTCATTTTCACAGAAAGTTCAGAGAAAGACATGTAGGATTCATGACCGTCCCAGTATCACCTCTGCTTTCCTGATGCTCTCTTTAACCTCCTCCATCTTGGCCTCAATGCCTGAAATCTCTTCCTCAGGTGACAGCTTCCTTCGCTGCTCTAAATTGCGTAAAACCTGAAAAGAAGCGTAAAGAGCGTCAGATTGTGGATGGTCATTCCACAGCAGATCACATACCCTGTGGAGAATCTCCACTTGCACAGGACAGTGGAATCTATGTGCAGCAGATCACACAGCATGTGGGCATATGGACATCACAGAAAGGCATCATAGCATGTGGAGAGGACATCTTAGAGCAATGGCATATCATGTGGAGAGCACACAACAATCATACCATATGGTGTAGATCACTGAGTAACCATGTACATACGGAGATTTTGGAGCATTCGTATAGCTTTTACAGACAGAAGAGTGCATCGGAAATGGGCAGGGCTCACAAAAATCAGATCATAACAGCGCGTGGAATTTGTAGATTAGATCAGATGGTGCGTGGAGATTGTAAAGAAAAGATATTTTCTTCCAGACAATAAACTGAACAACACCAGTGAACAGAAATGTTGAGTCTCACTGACCCGCTCGCCATGGGCGATGACTTTGTGGTTATTTGCGAGTTTAGTTGCCCACTTGCGTGCCTCCTTGTCTAGACTGGACTCTCTGTCTTGGTCACCGGGTTGTATTTCCAACTGGCAAACCTACCACATGACAAAGAACACAGAGTCAGTTAGTAACTGGCCGTGTTGATAACGAGGCTGATCACAGGAGATCACTTCCATACCGCCTTTACTCCAATGAATTTCATAATCTAGATATTGAGGATCACTGATCAACAGAATATTGGGGGTTGGGTGGGGTGGGGTTGGAGCTGGGGTTGATTCAAAACAACCCAAGGTCAGGAGTTCAAACCCCACCATTGGACCTCATGACATTGGTCAGTTAATGCATTGCTTCGTTGTTGACCCTCCCTCCAAGTGAACAGCCCAGCAGTGAGGGAGTTCTCAATTATCAACAGAATGACCACCAGCACCAGCTGAAGGATAACCAGACCAGGTACAAGCAAGGGGCAGAGGCCTGCACCAGTCAGACAGAGCCTTGTTCAGACCCCACCTGGAGGAATTAAGGTTTAGTTGTGGACATCTCATCACTGCAAAGGATACACTGGCCTTGGACTGGGTGCAGTGTAGATCCATGGGGGGCTGGTACAGCCTAATTCCGAGGAATGCTGTCATGGGCTGGACTTGTATTCTCTCCATTTGGAAAGAATGCAGGGTGATCTGTCAGTGTGTTTATAGTGTGTGAAGGAGGAGATGATGGGGTAAATAGGGAGAAACCTTCCTCTGGGCAAGTAGGGGTGGCTGGACAAGAGTTCGGCGGGGGAGGGCATTACCTTAAAATTCGATCGAATCCACTCATGTATCATGTCAGAGGGCACTTCCTCAGACAAAGGCTGGAAGGAATCTGGAATGCCCCCCTCCCAAATTTGCTCACTGTGGGAGTCAACTGAAAACTGAATGGTAGGCTTTCGACATGTAAGGATATTAAGGGCTACGGAACAAATGGTGGGACAATGGAGCGAGGGAACAGACCCCCACCTATGATCTAACTGAATGGCAGAACAGGCTCGAGGAGTTGAATGGCCTCCTCCTGATCTTGTGACCCTGGATGTTTAGCGAGTGGCTCATATCATCATAGGGCTTGTCAAAGCTTCACAGTTCTCCTCAAAGATTGCAGGCAAGTGGAATATCAGCCCCACAATGCCATCCCAAAAGAGCAGGCCTGTAGGTTCAAGGTAGCAGCTCATCGTGCTCTCTCAGGGAAACAAGGGATGGGCAAAATACCCATCAAAATACCACCTTGCCGGTGACGCACACATCCTGGGAACTGTCTCTCAATCTCCTGCAGCCGATGAGGTACGTGGACCTCAGTCACTCAAAGGTTTAAAGGCTCACAGGCTGAGTTGAGGATGCTGCGGGAGCCAAGCAGCTTAAACAAGCGGGAATTAATTCAATCCCTTCCCAACTGGCTTACCTTATCAGAACCAGCTGGCTGAAAGAGGAAGGCTGAGGCCTCTGTAAACACTGGGTTCTCTTGGAGGAATAACTGAAGGTTATAGTCACGGGAGATCTGCAGTGGAAACACAGGAAGGTGGTCACGTTGTGTACTCGCTGAAGGAATTGGGAAGAGTTCACACAGGACCAGGATTTACATGGATGTTTCAGCTGCTGCTAACCTCCTGTCTTCATACACTTCAGCTGTCCCGAACTCTACAACCATACTGCCCCATCACTGCATGCACAAAGTCCCATTCATTCATCGCCTCTGTGCTCACTCACTTGCAGGAGTCCAAGCTTGAAATTCTCAATCTCATGTTTGAATCCTCACATAGCCTCACCTTTCTCTATCTCTGTCACTTCCTTTAGCCCTGCTACTCTCTGATACAACTGTGACCCTCCAATTCTGGTCTCTTATACACATCCCAGACTTTAGTCGGTCCAGCAATGATGCCAGTGTCTTCAGCTGTCTACATCCTAAGCTCGGAAATTCTCTCCTTATACCTCTCATCTCTACCTTTTTTACCTCCTTTAAGGCACTCCTTAAAGCCAACGGTCTCTAACAAAGATTCAATGACCTGACTCAGTATCTGTGGTTCAGTAAAAAACCTTGTTTCATAGTGACTCTAGTAAAGCCTGGAAATAATTTGTTACTTTAAGAAGCTACACAAACACAAGTTGTTGTTGACTGAGTATATCGAAATTGTTCCACTGACACAAAAAAGCAGCCATTTTCTACACAGCAAGATGCCACAGACAATGAGTTAAGACTTCAACACAAAATCCAAGTGAGGTACTGAGGGAGTGCAGCACTGTCCCTGGGCGGGAGGGGCAGCACTGTTGCTGGGCCGTGGTGGGGGCAGCACTGTGCCTGGGTGGGGTTGGGGGGGTGGAGGGGTGTGGTGCAGCACTGTGCCTGGGCCGGGGAAGGGGGGGACAGCACTGTCCCTGGGCGGGGTGCTATACTGCCAAACCGATAGTACTGAAGCCATGCTGCATTGTTGGGTCTACCATCTTTTAGATGTTACAGCCCTTTTCAGCCTTAAGAGATGGATGTCACAGATCTCATGACCAGTGTTTGAATCTGAGCAGGGAAATTCTCCCTAGTGTCCAGAGCCAATATATATTTCTCAACTAATATCTCCAACTGATTACCTGTTTCTTACTATCACTACTCATTGTATACAATTTGGCTGCCTTTCCTATGTGTACATTTCACAGTTATTGAGCACTTTTAGATATCCTGAAGTTGTGATAGGCCATGTGTAAATGTAAGACTTAGATTTTCCTGGGAAGGTGATAGTGGACCTTCTGGAATACTGCAAGGGGGTTTGATGCAGATTGAGTGGTCTATTTCTGAGGGCACTTAACAATCAAACACATTGCTTTGGGTCTGGAGTCACATGTAGACCAGAGCAAATAAAGGCTTCTTTAAAAGGATAGTTGTGAACCAGTTTGATTTTCTTACAATCCAACAGCTTCGTATTCCCATTTACCTACACAATTTGTTTTGTACTTCTATATTTAATTTTTCTTAATTTACGCAATGGATTAAAATTCTCAAACAGCCGAGACGAGATTTGAACTCAGATCCTGCAGATAACAGAAATGCTATGGTTCTGTAATCCTAAGCAGTGGGTTGGCTATTAGCCATGTATTTGTACAGCACTGAGACGTGGGGCTAAATTGGATCACTCTTTGAAAACAGCCAGTACAGCTTTGACGGGCGAAGTGTCCTGTATGACTCTGAAATAAGTATAAACCACAATTGAAGAAATTCATTTGAAGAAAACTGCACATTGTTCAAAGTCAGAAATTTGACATGTCCATAAGGTCCCTCACTAACTTCTACAGATGCACCATTGAAAATATACTGTCCTGGTGCATAACGGCCTGGTATGGCAACTGCTCTGCCCAGGACTGTAAGAAACTACAGAAGGTGATGTGCACAGCCCAGACCATCACGGAAGGCAACCTCCCATCCATGGAGTTAAAACTGTATCAGAGATAGCAGGAACTGCAGATGCTGGAAAATCTGAGATAACAAGGTGTAGAGTTGGATGAACACAGCAAGTCAAGCAGCATCATAGGAGCAGGAAGGCTCTAGACCCGAAACGTCAGCCTTCCGGCTCCTCTGATGCTGCTTGGCCTGCTGTGCTCATCCAGCTCTACACCTTGTTATCTCCCATCCATGGACTCCATTTACACGGCTCGCTGCTGCAGAAAGGCGGCCAATATCATCAAAGTCCCTGGTAATGACCTCTTACAACCTCTTCTGTCAGAAGCCTGAGCACACACACAAGCAGGTTCAGGAACAGCTACTTTCCAGCCTGATGAATGGACTCTAGCCTCAAATATTGTAACCTGCGATGTAACCTGTATGCCTCTAAGTCTTTTTGATCTGTACATCCATTGCTTCCTGTGACCTGCCTGTACCACTCATAAACAAAGCTTTTCACTGTATTTCAATACACGCGACAATAAAATCAATCAACAGTCAGATGAAAAATTTAAAAGCTTACTACCTTACTGGAGGATTCTAGAACACTCTGGAACCACTGCTGTCCTGACTGACAAGCGTCAATCTCAGTCTTGCTGATGAGGGTGAAGTATTCCTGTAGCTTCTCGTAGACATCCCCATCCAGGTTCTGAAAAAGAATTAGACAGAAAAGTGATAGACCTTTAACACTGGTGCTGGGGCCATTCAATGAGTGATTTTCAGAAGCATTTCCTCACACAAAGGGTCACAGAAATCTGGAATTCTCTCCCAGGTGTGCAGTGGATGTTGGAATTCCAGTCTGGGCCCAGGGAAGGGAGATGGGAGCGATGCAGTTTTGGGAACATACGGTGGTGAGGTGTGTTTTAGTAGAAACTACCCACACAAAGAGGTAAAGGAGGTAGAATAGTCTCCAGTAGGAGCTAAACCCTAAATTTCCCAGGGGAAATAAATGCCCCAAACTAAACAACACAGCATCCACATGTTTACAGTCATGGATATCTCATGAAATTTCAGATTGGAGCAGAAATTCACCAAAGATTCACAGACAGGAGCGTCCAAACCCACAAACACTTCCATCTAGAAGGACAAGGGCAACAGATATATGGGAACACCACCACCTTCAAGTTCCCCTCCAGACCACTGACTTGGAAACATATCGGCGTTCCTTCATTGTTGCTGGGTCAAAATCCTGCAATTCCCTCCCAAATGGCACTGTGAGTCAACGACTGCAGCGGCTCAAGAAGGCAGCTCACTACCAGCCAGTGATGCCCATATCCCACAAATGAATAAATAAAAAAGTGTCACAGTATCATCAAACAGAGAATCTCAGTTGACAAAAGAATTGCTCACATGATCCAGGAGGCATCACGTTTAACATCAAACGGTATGTGACAAGCATCCCTGCAACACAGGGTTCGCAATGTCTTAGAAAACCCTTAACAACTGATAATCATGGCTCCTGAGTAGAAAGTGCACATGTTGACTGTGGCCTCATTCACAAGGAGGAAGATGCCAAGCAACAAAAGCGGTGAATCTACACCAACCATCTCAAGAGCACCCCATCCAGATCCAAACCCCCTACCCTATCCCTGTAACCCCACATCTCCCATGGCTAACCCACCTATCCTGCACATCCCTGGACATTATGGGTCATTTAGCATGGCCAATCCACCCTGACCTGCACATCGTTGGACTGTGTGGGAGGAAACCCATGCAGACACGGGGAGAATGTGCAAACTCCACACAGACAGTCACCCGAGGGTGGAATCGAACCCTCGCGCTGTGAGGTAGCACTGAGCCACCGTGCCGCCCAATTTTGTTCAAACAATTAGGAAGGCTAAAATCCTAACACAGCATTACACTGAAGAAAGATGGTAAGCCCTTAACGCCTTTAAACACCCAGGGTCCTTATTCATAAGTCACTGAGAGCTAACATGCAGGCACAGCAAGCCATTGGCATATTGGCCTTTTTCACATGAGCGTTTGCGTACAGGACTAAATAAAGATGTCTTGCTTCAACTATTTTGAACCTTGGTTAGGCTGCACCTGGATTATTTGGAACCGTTTTGGTCCCCTTGCCTGATAAAGAAAATACTGGTCATGGAAAGAGAGAAGCAGAGGTTCACCAGACTAATTCCCAGGATAACAAGGTGCAGGGCTGGATGAACACAGCAGGCCAAGCAGCATCATAGGAGCAAAAAGGCTGACGTTTCGGGCCTAGACCCTTCATCGGAAA